TTAAACTTAGTTTGAGAAAGTTGAATCTCTTTCTATCATTTAAAAAGATCCGACAAGAGATTTTTGTCTTCTTTTAAAATCTTGATTCAATATCATATAAAAGCCAACGTCTTCAATAATCACTTAGGGAATTTCTAAATTCCATCATCTTACAACATCTTCATTATTTTCAAACAATATACCAGCGTTGAGACTTTCTATACGTTTTATTTATTTATAGAGTTTTTTTCCCTTCTTTCCTCTTATATAAAACATTTTTTATAATATATGTAAACTGAAAATTTATTTTTGAGTTATTATCAAATAAGATTTTTTTTTCTATTTTTCAGCCTACAAATTGAAAAATAGAGAAATACGATATTTGACAATACAGTAGAACCTCCATTATCCGGACCTCCATTATCCGGATTTTCGATTATCCGGATTGTTCAAAATAAACAAAAATTTTACGAATTTGCTGATTTGCACTTGGCAAATTACGACACTGTTAATGTACGTGATGAATGCATAACTTTTTTGTTTCAACAACGTCTCACCCGGCACAGTGGTAGTAAACTCTTAAATATATTTTACGTAGTAATAAAAATATAACTTGACATACGTATTTATAAATAATTTATATTCAAATTACATCATTTCTATGACCAAGGGCGGCGTAAGGCATGGACGACGTGGGCCACCGCCTATGCCTCGCGGTCCGAAGGGCCTCGCGCCTCGAAGGTTTATGCATTACTTAAAAGCCGCGAACGCGACGAAAAAATTTTACTCGTCATAAAACGATAAATAGTTTGTCAAATTTTTATTCATAAAAATGCAGTTTCAACTGCTTTTTATTTTATAAAATCCGTCTTCTTGCGCCACCAGAGGGCCTTTTAAACAATAGGTAGTCTGTTAGCGTTGGTCAGTAGTAGTCCAAATGCAATACGAACGTTTGTTTCTTGAAAATTTGATCACGATTTAAATACAGTATTTACTTTTAATATTACCGATATGTCATCGAAAAGAAAACGTGTTGTATTATCATTAAAAGACAAATCAAAGTATTTGTTTCGATTATCCGGATTTTTCCTTATCCGGACTACCTTCATCCCCAATTAGTCCGGATAATCGAGGTTCTACTGTATTTTGTTAAATATTGCATGAGTTTTATTTTTAAAATTTGATATTTACAAAGATTAGCTTTATAAATATTTTTTTAAAAATAGATATTATATTAATTTTACGAGTTATTTTTGTACATTTTTTCCCAGTTTGTGTAAAACTAATCATAAAAATTTAATTTTTCAATATTTATTTTAAATTTTTATATATGTTTATATTATTATTATGAATTTAAATCATATATATTTAAAAGCATTCTAAAAATTCTTTGATTATTAACATGTATTTACATATTTTATAAAGTTGTTCTATATTCAAATCGGTCATAAGCTCAAAAGAGAACCCAAAATATTGCTCAATAAATTTTACTTAATTCTAAAATTAAGCAATAATTAATTAATTATTATATAGTAATTTAAGAAAACATATTCATTTTTATCAGTTTAATAACGATAACTACAGAAGGAAACATTTTAATATATATTCTTTCTTCAATTATCATATTATTGTAAAAGAAACTATATAAAAATATCTTTTTCTGTTTTCTTCTATTGTAATCATTACTATAGTAATCAGAATATACATATATATTTGGTTCAATTGATTATAATACTATACAGCTACTCATATTTAAAAAAATAAAGAATTTCGCACGTACGTGATTTTAGAATTTCTGATAAGCACGATTAAAAAAAACGAGCTTATTTCATATTTTATATTATAGAAGATACAATATTATCTTTGGAATAATTTTTTATATTATAGTACAATAACCTGCCAGATAGAGATATTACATCGACAGCATTGAAGCAAGAAATCAAACGTTTTTCCACTGAGAAAACTATAACGTTATTTCTAACATCAACAGCATTCCTTGGTGATTTATATTTTAAATCGAGATATATACCATAAAATAAATGTTATACATTAAACTAGGAGAAAAATATATTTCAAAGTTATTTATATTTTTCAACACTTCAACATTTCACTTTAGATAAATAGTTTGAATATGAGTAATGTATTCTGTTCTTAATTAATTATTTAATTTTTGTAAAGTTTATATTAATGTTTTTAAATTTCTAATTATGTAATATTTAAAACCAAACTATAAATCTATATTTTAAATAAGAAGATATTTTTAAAAGTTATTGAGAAATAATTAAAATATATGAAAATTTAAGTGTTTTTTTTTAAAACTTTTATAATAAGATAATTACCGGTTTCAAATATTTAATAATGAAGATAATATATAAAATAATAAATTTTAAATTACATTAAATAAAACGTTGCGTAAATTTTAAAATATCGATCTTAAAACACTTTTTTTTTTTAATTTCATTTTAAAAATAACCTCTTTTTTTACAATCGAAGTTGGAATATTTAAAAATTACCAACCAATTTTTAATGATATTAAATGAATAAACCTTATAAGTAAATATATAATCGTTTTATAAGTACAGTACATAAATTAAACTGATAATGTTTACTTTTGAATTCTAAAATTAAAAATTTAATAATTTAACAAGATTCTTTTTTTTTAATTTAAAATTTTTTAATTTAGTAAATAAAAATCGATTTTTATTTCTAAAATTAAATGTCTCTTTAATAATTATTAGACAAATTGAGTTTTTATTTCATTGTAAATTGATAAAACAGAATAAATAAAAATTCTTTATTTAAAATATCTTAGCCTTTTGGATTTTATAGGTGTGAAGCTGGAAGAAATGTAGAAGAAACACTAAATTAAGTCTTCACATTTCGTCCTTCTTCGTACTTTCCCTTTTGGATCCCAAAAGGGAAGGTATGAAGAAGGACGAAATATGAAGACTTAATTTAGTGTTTCTTCTACATGTTTGGTAATTAACACACATTTTATTTTTATAAATTAAGATCCTTAAGTGTAATATCTTAATTTTTAATAATGGCAGGATATGTTTTAGATATTACAAATGATTTCAATTTTAAAAGATAATTTTTTCTGCCATTAAGATTTTCTTTCCTTTTTTGTATTTGTGCTTCTGTTCTAAATCGTGCTAAGAATACTAAACAGAAACTGTTGACATGATAAACGGTTTATCTCGTTCAGAAAAAGATTCAATGATTCGAAGACAAACCAGCATTTACTGTAAGGGTTTCCAGCTGAGATTTGTATCCGCAAACTAAAATTGTCATTTTAAAGCTATTTATGAAAATGAACAATAATTCAGCACTCAAAATTGAATAATAAAATACCTTTTCATTCAATAAAAATAACTTGTTTCTTTCTTTAATTTTATTAGTTTAATTTTTTTTTTAAATAAAAAAATCTTTAATCAACTAAAACACGTTACAATATTGTTTATACTTTCACTCTATGCTGTCATTATTTCATACAGATTTGAAATTCTTCCTTTATTTAATTGTATTTTAAAAAAGAAAAACGAAAAATAATAATAATAATTATTATTATTATTATAAAAAACAGAGAATATCGACGTAAGAAATGGTGTTTTGGTGAGGTTATTTAAGTTTTTAAACACGTTAAAATGTTTTTAAACGTTCGTTAATAGTCTTATATTTTTAAAAAAGATACATTTTATGAGAACATTTTTAGGTATAAGCAACCGAAGATTTTTTGCCTGTTACTTATAAGTCAAGGAAACATTTGTGGATCTGCCAAGAGGATACCTCCCGGAGGATTTTCTGGTTTCTATTTACGTGTTATACACGTGGAGAAAAGCCGGAAAACACCATGTGACTAGGCCATTGATCGAGCGCGAACCCGTGACTAACTGCCAGTGGTCAATGGTCTTATCCACTCGAGCGTTGGAGTGTGCTTTTGCCTAGGTCCTAGATTCGTATTGTATTATCAATTCTTTTTTTTCATCTAGCATTCTCAATCCAATTTTGAATACTAGAAGGATTCTAGCCCAGTACTTAACACCAGGTCCTAGTTAGAATCCCAAATCTTGTCCAGTGTTCATACTTTGATACTACACGATCCTAAACGTACCAAAGTAATTATTAGTATAGGAAGATCTGGTACAAGGTCTAGTAGAGTAGTAATCCCAGATCCTAGAACTAGACCCTTGTCTATAGTATTATATAGGATTCTAAATCTCGGTCTTGTGCTTAGAATCAAGTACTAGATAAGTTTATTTAATGTAAAATCTGTATTAAAGGGCCCTTGTAGAAAAAGGAAGGGCCTTGCAAGTCAACGCTTGCCTAGGGCTTTTCATAATTAAACGCTACTGTATTTTTATTAATTAAAAGTGACACATTAATTTTTCTACACTCGACAGTCAATAAGTTGAAGATATATATATATAATTTTTAATCAAGATTAATATTGACAATTACAATTATAAATCAATTATTAACTTGATTATTGTATATTAAATACCCGGATTATTTTAATAAAATCCGAAAATATCTGGAAATAATGATTTATATCCCACGCATCCCTATCTTNATATATATATATATATATTAAAACAGCGTAACTTAAACATACTTCAAAATAAAACAGTCAAAAATATCATTTACATCTAATAAAATGATTTAAATTAAAAAAAGTTTTTTCAATATTATAAATTCCTAATTACATATAGGAATTAGATATATTAACTTTATTTTAATATTTATAAGATACAACAATATATAACAAGATTGTTTAATGGGTTTATCTATCAAACAAGTCGTATTTTGATAGGTTATATTTATATTGAGTCTATCAAAACAAGGTTATCAGCCGGATTTTCCATTAACGCTAATCTTCGGAACATTTTTTAACTACCTCCTACACGAGAAAATCGTGACCCCCTTATTGTTCGAACCGGTTTAACTAGAATGTTGTTCTTCCCAACATATCCAACTACAAATAAACTGCGCAGTCTCGTAAAAACGTTTCTAGTAGTAGAGGAAACTTGGTGCACATTCTGTGACGCGGTTCTGATCGTTTGTGGTTGTGTGCAGGTGCGACCGTGCTTCGTCCCATTCAGGAAAACATCTTTTTAACTACAACGTGGAGCCGTTGTGGTGAGTTTTTCTTATTTTATTGTTTCATACTTTTCTTTTAGTCTTTACAACGAAATGTTTTCTTATCGCGTAGTTCTTTAGAATACGTTCTGTATTTTAAACTATGAACTAAGAGAAGAGTTAGTATAATATATTTACTTTAGAATTGATTTCCATATTAATCGATTCTGAATATTATTAAATTTTTAAATATAAATGATAATAATGAAGAGAATTAAATTGTTAATGAATGTTTATACTTTGCTCTTAGGGATTTTGCTTGCTCTTATACACGTTGATAAAAGCGCGTGTTGTGAGATACCGGAAAAGAAACTTTAGATAAAATTTTAATTTTCTTAAAGTTTTCGTGTTTCTTTGAAGTTAGTTAATGAAGCTTAGTTAAGAGTTTGATTTTTAGTCTTTGTCTCTTTCGTGACGTATGCTAAAATCGATTGTATTTGAACAAATAACATTTGACAGATTTTTCATTTATTGACTTTTCCTCCCTATATTCATTTTAAACTTTGTAGAAATCTTCAAATCTTATTATTTTTTTTTTATTAACAATAAGTGTGTTAATGATAAAAATAAGTTAAACGAGCAATGTTTTTGTGCTGAGTGTGATTATGCCATCTTCAGAGATGTTTAACTATATTGTTAATAAGAATACCGAAAGGTCTAATTATCAATAAAATAAAGTCTTTTAAAATAATCGAGTTAAGTGATAATCTAATTAGATAAATGACGAATGATGAGCTAAAAGTTATGTTTTTTGCAAACAAATTATAATATATTTTGATGAATGTACTATACAGTACAGTACTATGATCTGTTCACACTACAACAGCATTATGAAGTTTTCTCGGAAAGTTTTTCTCCTTTAATCTTTAGCGAAAGAAGTGGCCAATGCTGTCGATCCAGTCATGACAGTGCACGTCACATTTTATTGACACAGTTCCGGGTAAGAAGGAACCTCCCCAGGGGAGGAGGATGCAAGGCTGGATCGGTTTTGTGAAACTGTCGTGGTGTAACCGTAAAAAGGAATGCACGTTGGACCTCGGGGAGTCACTGAGAAACCTATTACGAATCATTTTTTTAAAAAGTCTACTTCGCCCCATCTTTACTTCTGAAAGCCTCCATTGATTTTGTCAGATATTTTCCTACCAGGTAAATGCATTCTGTCATTTCCTATAACGTTTTAAGGTGATGATGTACTCCTATTCTTGTTTCCTTTCACGTTTTATTTGTTCTTTTCCAACGAATTCGTATTCTCTCTTCAATATCTTCCAAAAAAGAAAAGAAAACACAAATATGTGTAGGCATAAGCGAATATTCCCAATAAGGAAATTTTGAAACACCAAAGATTATATGTTGACACTTAAAAACCTGAATGGGAAACCGAACACAAGATAATTACCCTTAAGTAACTTAATACCTCTTCAAATTGGTATATTTCTGGGAAAGTTTATAGTCTGATTATCCCTATTTAATAAAAATTAAAATAATATCAGTATTAAAATTGTGTACCTATACATTATATAATTATGTTATTTTTCATTAGAATAAAAATTTAGCACGTTCTGTTTTAATAAATATTCGAAATTCTGAGAGCAACACACAAAGTATTGCTTGTCAGATCAGATACTAAGAGAGGAGCCTTTGATCTTTTTATGCAGTGTCTCCTGTATCCAATATCCTGAGGCGTCCTTTCTCCATCAATACACTTTTACAAAATATTGAATCCTGAATTTTTCGGATGAATTAAAATCGTTAAGGCACATTTCACCTTCGCAAAAATTTTTTATTGCCATTCAGGCATATAAATCTGAAACCTGACAGGAGCTTCGATATGGTTTTTTTACGAAGCGATTATTAATGTTAGATAATCAAACATTGACTTTTTATCTTTTACAGAGTAATTTTGATTCATTAAAGATAGCAATCAACCCGAAGTTTAAAGGGAGAATCCCCTAATAAATTAACTTTGTTATAAATTAATTGGGTGATTTGAAGGACTAGCTTAAAGTTCCATCTAAGAGAGGGGCAATTATGTTTGGTAAAGGATCTCATTTTCCTTCTATACCTGCAATTATAAATCATGTGCAATTTTCGAGGGACAAATATGTCCCACGTGTCAAATAAACGACATTTTGTTTGAAGAAGGGTCTAATAATTGATACAATATCCTGTCCTTTTCTATGTAGTTTAGAAAGGGAACGCCTCAAATGACTCATAAAGGACACAAACATCTGTAAAAACCCGAGTTTAAATTTCGTGTCATTCAAAACGCTAAAATTTCAAAAAAATTCTCAAAATTCATAATCAAAACTAATGTAGGTCAGTAATGTTAACAAAACTAGAAACGACCTGTAACAGAAGAAATGGAGGGTAAATCAGGCGAGTCGAACCATTACACGGTAAATTATGTCTCTCTCTCTGTCTCTCTCTCTCTTATTTTTTATATAATAATTCATTTTATTTCTCATCTAAGTAATATTTTATACAAATATTCTTGTTTATCGAATTTATTTATGATTTTCACTACTTTATTAAATTATAAAAGAAAAGATAAATTAAAAAAGAAACTTTGGCAAGATTAAGTAGCTGCTGCGGTTGTGACAAAGGTTCGGAAATTGGCAAGAAACCAGAAAGAATAAGAGGCTTTGCAGATGATCATAGTGATAACGCTACTTTGGAATCTAGAGGAAATTAAGGATAGAGGATCAAGAGGTCAATATCGAGTGAAACGAAAGAATTCTTAAAAAGATTGAAAAAGGCTTAAATTCTCCAAAAACATTAAGAATTTCACACTTTTTTGAAGGCACGTGATATGTTTTTAAACTAAGTTAAATTTAACCATCCTACGCCAGATTAAATTTTCTGTTTAATAATAAATAATTTATTTATTACGAAAGTTTATATGACTATTTCCTATAGCTTACTTTCCTTGAAAAAACAGACAAAGCAACAAAACGTTATGAAATAGGATAATTTAATATGAACAAATTTCACACAAAGAAAAAAGGCGAGATTTATTCACTTTTATCTATCTCGATGTTGTAATGTAACAATAGGTGTTGCTACTTTGCCCTAAATTAGAACATTTCCCACCTCTGCTGTTTGCTTCGAGTGATCATTCGACCCTAGAACAGATTGAGTAATGACAGCTCTCGTGACCAACATACAGGCGTTACAAACGGGTTTATGTAAGATGAATTATTCCAGGAAGCGGTGAAGAGGCCAAGCAGAACCTCAGAAAAAGAAAGAAGAAAAATGATGTTTATCGTCACAGTACACTAATTGGAAATTTCCTTCAATAGATACTTAAAATATATTTCGCATATTCAAAAGTCATAATGCATAATTTTAGTCAAGAAAAATTTCATTTAATTTCCTTTTGGTTAATCTTTAGCAGACATAATTAGACAGCATACAAATGACAAATATAGCAATTTGCTTAAATGTCTTAAGAAAAAGAATTAAATGGGCACTGGTTGCTGTTTAGATTCTTTTAATGGAAATTTATTCTTTTAATCACTTTTTTTTTGGAATTAAATTTTTGGTTTTTAAACTTCTTGCTTTGAAAACTATAAAAGATTCCCAAGGGCGAGAAGAAAGACCGAAAAGTTTATAACAGAAGTAGTGGAAATCGAAATCTATCCTACAGTTACAATTAAGAAACTCGATCAATTTTTCCTTTCCAAAAATCTAATATCGATAAAAACCTAAAAAAAACTCGTATAATATTTTATAAATGATTTAAAAATATACGTTTTATTTATTGCTTTCGTATATGTTCCATTAGTTTGTATAACTAAAAACATAATCATTGACAAAAAACATATTGCACCTTTTACCTGAGTAGAAAGTGTAAAATTTATCCGATGCGTTATAAGGATAAATAATGATCTGGAAGCACATTGGATGAAATTTCAGATGATAAACTTCTACTTCTAAACCTAAGATGGATGGTTGGAAGGAATCTAGGAGGATTTATCTATTTTTAGATCATTTTTGAGCATGGAAGAAATGACCTTTGCTGCACAATTTCCATTTAAATATCTGACAACTCAGTTTTATCGACGTTTTATTTAAATATAAAAGATATTTTAAGCTGTATCTTTGTAACTTTATATCCTATGTGTAATTTATACTAATGGGCGCTTATTTTTAAAGGATTAAGTATCAAAAATGGTAACATATTTAGATAATAAATGTAGTCCGATATATTTATAAAAAAAAGACATTCTCATTTTTGTAAATCGCCTCTTTCCAGACTTATATAGTAAGTGCTTCGACTTAACATGCAATAAGGATCTTGTCGACCTTCTGTCATTAGAATAAGTACTAGTTTCAAAGAATAGAAAAAATACCATCATAACATGCACGAAAGCATCTCCTAACCTTCACGCTAGCTGCGGTTGTGAGGGGTCGTTAAGCACAGAAATGATGCCACATCTTTCTATAAGTTCTTCACGATGCCTTCGGGATTCTTCTCTGCGATCATTTCTGGTTTATAGAAAAACTTCTTTGCTTATTATCTTCTTGATTCTCTCGAATTTGAATGTGTTTTTTGCCCCCTCCTACTCGGCTATAGCAATTCTACTTCTCAAGAGACACTGCCATTCGTGAAATATTTGCAGAACTTACAGTTAGCAATAGCAAACTTGGCATTGTTTGATTGAAGAGAATAAAAATGGAACGAGAAACAAAAATTGTTGTGCACCTAGGAATTCCAATCGTGATTGTTTTGATAGAAGTTATATTTTTCAACTTCGTTGATCAGTTTTGAATTTTTTTTCTTTTCTTATTACTCCACAGATATTTTTACCGCATGATGAGTGCCTAGGTAATAATAATTTTCAACTTTTAAATATATATATTTTTTTATTCTGCATATTTTCACGTTAAAGTAAGTATATGTAGATTATTTCTAAGATAATTTATTAGCATAGTGAAAAATTTCGCTTCCTAATATTTGAGAAAAGTCAACAAACTTTCAATTAATTGAATTTTTGAAC